AAAAAAAAATTTTTTTTTTTCGTATCGATTTTTTGTTACCGGAAAAACATTTTTATGCAAAAAAAATAATTTAATTTTTATTTTAACTATTTTTTAATGCAAAAATTCAAAAAAATGAAAGTTATTCATATAAATTCAAAAAAATTTTTTTGAGCTTAGCTGAATTTTTTGCTTATAAAAGACAACAAAAGCTTTAATTTAAAAAAAAAAAGCAAAGCGATCGATTTTTCGCGGAGTTACAGCTGTTTGTTTATAAGCGCTCGAGCGGAACCGCGCTTTTTTTAATTAAAAAATTAATATCTCGTAAACTATTGATCGTACAGACATCGGGCTTAGCTCATTTTTTTCCTTATTAAATTCTCTAAATTTCATACGCAGCATGTCTCGACTACTTTTGCGTAGTTTCCGAGATATTTTAATTTAAAGCTCGACGCTAAAACGCTATTTTTTAAACAAAAAAAAAGCAACACTTCCGACATACACACAAATGTTTAGAATATTTTTCTGAGTATTTTAAAAAAAAAAATCCAAAATCGGACCATTTTGTCGAAAAGTTGCCAACAAACCCCTTTTTATTTCCAGGCCGACTGGACTAAACCCATTGATGATGGGTTCATACATCCAAGGAGGTACAGTAAACAACCTCCTTCAACGGAAAATGCCGGGCCCAGCACAACTAACAGATTTGAAACTATTTCAAATCCAGACGATATGAACATAGATGGCGACACCCAACTAACTCAAAGTCAAACTTTCCGAAGACCAGCAGGTAAAGATACTACTCGTCGTAGATCCACGATCGATAACACCAACGTCCCAACGCCACCTACCGCTACAAAATCAACCATCAAGCCACCACCAATTCATTCAAAAGGTATACAAATAAAAGCCATACTAAAAACATTAATCGACAACGGAGTTGACAACAAATCATTTTGGATCAAACACGTGGGTTACACCTTTACCAAAGAACCTTTAGTAGATATTTTTGCCAACACCAAAGATACATTCAATAATATTAAAAATGTACTTAAAACCAATAAAATGGAATTTTATTCATATACACCAAGAGATGAAAAACCAAAGACATTAGTTCTAAAAGGAATACATGGTGGTTTTGATGTAAACCATGTGATCGAAGCAATCAACGAACTTCAATTACCTGAATTAAAAATAATTAAAGTAAGTAAATTAGAATTCAATAAAACTGACAAAAGTATTTATCATTTTCTAGTACAATGCTCAAATGAGAGTAAGACTGCTGGTTTAACCAGACAAAAAAGACTGCTCCATCAACCCATAAAATGGGAAAGATTAAGAAGGAAAAAAATCTTTCAATGTGCCAGATGTCAACAAGTTGGTCATGCAAGTAGTAACTGTAACTACGAACAACGATGCGTTAGATGCGCCGGAAACCACGACAAAGATGCTGTGTGCCCAGTCGCAAAAAACAGTGATCCTTCCCTCACCAAATGTGCCAATTGTGGAGAAAGTGGACATCCTGCCTCTTACGGCGGCTGCCCATACATGAAATTTGCCAACAGTCAAATGAAAATGGTATCAGCAGCAAGAAGACAAATTAGATCTAAAAAAATAGAACACATTAGCAGGTTAGTCAACCCAAATATCTCATATGCAAATACTGCCAAAAACAGTACTGAAAAACAACACATTCAGCACCAATTAAATAATAACAGACCAGAATCTCATATACCATCTGGTCCATCTCCATTACCAAACATGCAAAATCTTAACGACATTTTAAACAATTTTAAAGACTACATCATGTCACACATCAACAAAAACTTTGAAGAGATTTACAGAAGAATTGATATGAATGCTAGAAACATTCAAAATCTGTGCAACTTTGAATAAATGGCAAATAACCAACACTCCAACATCATTAAAATTTGCTCCATCAACGTAAATTCAATCAGAGCTACCAAGAGAAGAGCAGACCTAGAAATGTTTTTAGAAAACAACACAATAGATATAGCAATGATATCAGAAACCAAATTAACTAGCAAAAATTTCTTTAGTTTCAGAAATTATCAGATTATTAGAACAGACAGACCAAATGTTAAAAATGGAGGAGGAACAGCAATCATCATCCACAATCGTATACCATTCTCAGCAATCACCTACCCAAATTCACTACACAACAAATCACTTGAATTTTCAGTTGCCAAAATAACAACACAATCAAACAATACTTTAATTCTTATCAGTATATACGCGCGACATAGCAACAAACTATCGTTCATTAATGAACTTTATAAAATTTTTACAGATTTCAAACTTACAAATGCAAACACATATCACATTATAGCGGGTGACTTCAACGCTAGACATCCTGAATGGGGAAGCAATATTATCAACGCTCGAGGAAGACAAATGTTCCAATGGTACGAGGAAATGTCCCTCCAATACAGAACAGTACTATACCCTGCAGCTGAACCAACCTTCCCATCAGCAGGTTCATTCCTAGATTACTGCCTAGCAGACGCAAGAATTGAACTACTCAACATCATCCAAGGTAAAATTAAAATCTTACCTTATGATAGCGATCATTCAGCACTATTTTTTGAGATAGATACTAGCTCTCTTTTTGATGGGATAAATTTTTCCACCCCATCAAATCCAACATTCAATTATAAGAAAGCAAATTGGAGAAAATTCCAGAAATATCTAATGGATAACTACAATCTAGATATACCCTTTAATAGAAATCTTACAATCGACGAAATTGACTCATACATAATTAATTTAGAAGAGACAATAGCTGATGCCATAGATAAAATCATTCTAAAAAACGATCCACTAAGTAATCCAGGTCAATGGAAATATATCAACAACAGAATCAAGATCCTACACTCCTACAAAAACCGACTAATAACAATACTACATAACACTATCAAGCTTCAAAATTTCAGAAATACGCAAGTAATTAAAAACATCAAAAAACAAATTACCGAGATCAACAATCAACTCTATAAAGAATTCCAGAAAACAACAACAGCATACTGGGAAGCCAAAAGCAGAAGTGTCAACTTCAGAGATCCCAAAACATTTTTTCCAACCATAAATAAATTTTTTCGACGCAAAGAAGCTCCGACGATATCAAACATACTGATAAATAAAAATAACCCGATTCTCATCGATGAACTGAAACAATCAGAAGAATTAACAGAACTAAACGACGATCAATATATAATTACCAAAGAAACCTCCAAACTTAATATCATAGGTAAGCAATTTGAGATTATAAATTCTCCAAGATATACAAATCTTCTTACAGATATTAAGAACACAGCTGATAATTGCGCAGACGAGATTAAGAATTCCATTCAAGCTAACAGACAAAATAATTCTACCATCACAAATTTCTCAAACGAAAATAGGGCCTTCTACCCTTCTATAGACCAAGATGCTCCTAAAATCTTCCACAGTTTTATCACCACATCAATTCTACTCAAGAAAGCTAAAAACAAAACATCAAGCGGAACAGACAACATCCCGATGATTGTCCTAAAAAATCTACCAGAACAATTCATCAAGGACTACACCGTAATCTTCAACAACGCCATCAATCGCACATACTATCCTAAGAGATGGAAAGTTGCCAAGGTAATACCAATCAGGAAAAAAAACAAAGATCCCTCTGAACCAGGTAGTTACAGACCAATCAGCTTAACGAATAATACTAGTAAAATATTTGAGAAAATTATTAAAATCAATTTAATGGAACACATTGACTCTAATAAATTAATTCCAGATAACCAGTTTGGTTTCAAAGCCAAACACTCGACTACACATGCAATTAATAAACTAGCTTCTGACTTGAATAATTATCTTTTAAATGGAAAACTGATAGGAGCCATACTATTGGACCTTGAAAAAGCCTTCGACTCAGTTTGGCTGAATGGACTTACATATCTACTAGTACAACTAAATTTTCCAAAGTATTTAACGCAACTTATCACAGACATGATTCATGGGAAATCATTCTTCACCTGGAACGGACGTTCCACGTCAACCTATATCTGCAAAATAATAGAAGGGCTCCAACAAGGGACCGCA